TATCTCTACAGAAGTAGATTGCCCAATCTTCCTTCTGAGCAGTGGCTGGTGGGTTTGAACTTCCAGCCTTCTGGTTAGCAGTCAAATGCCTTAGGCTCTACGGCACCAAAGCTCCTTCACTAACTGGATTTGTTGTTATTATGTGCCATAGAGGGGCCCTAATTCTTACCGACCCCTCCTTGGGTTTCCGAGGCAGTATCACTACGTCCAACCTTCCTTCTGAGGAGTGGCTGGTGGGTTTGAACCACTAGCCTCTGGTTAGCAGTCAAGTGCCTTAGGCACTACGCTACTAACTGGATAGTAGACATATATTAACTTGGAAGAAGGGAAAAGCAATACACAGTAAGGGAGAGGTCAGCACAGCACAATCAAGGCAAAGGAAGACACTGGGAGGTATGCAAGAGTAAAAGGACATGAAGGTAAATACTATTACATATACAATCTTGCAATAACAGTAATAACAAATAATAATTTACGAATGGATACATAGGTAGCTATGTAAATTGAACAGGTGTGGGATGGCATATGGGAGTATAGTCATGATTGTAATAGGTTTGGGAGATAATTTTTTGACATATGTATTTGTATGTGCTGTAAATATATTCAGGACTATAGTAGAGCATACAAGGGGCAAATTTACACAAACTTCTTAGCCATAACAAACACATTGAGGGACTGGGTCACTGGGTCTGATGGCTTAGGATCATGGTCACAGGGGACATCTAGGTCAACTGGCAATACAGTCGATAAAGACAATGTTCTACATCCTACTTTGATGTGTATCAACTGGGGTCTTAAAAGTTTGCGAGCTGGCACTTAAGCTGCAACTCTTGTTCTCTTCCTGTCCAGAGCAAAAAAGAGTAAAGAAAATTAAAGGCTCAAGGAAACAATTAGTCCAAAGGACTAATGAACCACACAAACCACAGCCTCCACTAACCTGAGACTAGAAGAACTAGATGATGCCTGGCTACCCCTACCTACTGCTCTGATGGAAATCACAATAGAACAGAATAGGAAAAGAATGTGAAACAAAATTCAAAAGCATAAAAAACACTAGTCTGATAGAGACTGGTGGAACCCCTGAGACTATGACCCTTAGATATCCTTTGAACCTGGAACTGAACCCACTCTGAAATCACCTTTCAGCCAAACAATAGACAGGCCTATAAAATGAACAATAACACCCATGAGGAAAGTGCTCCTCAGAGCAATCAACCATAGGAGACCAAAAGGACAACGTTTGCCCAAAGAAAAAGTTCAGAAGGCAGGAAGGTGCAGGCAAGATGGGCCAACTAATGTCACAAAAAACAAAATTTGTATAAATTGTTGGATGGAAAACTAATTTGCTCTGTAAACTTTCACTCAAAGTAATATATATATATAGGGTTTTGTGTGTGTGTGTGTGTGTGTGAAAAAAGATACAAGCCAAAAGCCCAACATACACAGAAAGAAGGCACAAATCTGTGTGTGTGTGGAGTGGCCCTCAGCGTGGTGCACACGCGGTGTCCAGTGTATCCTCGCGTCACACACGGACCTTTCACTCTGATTCTGCTCACCCGAGTGTCCAGGAGACCTCACCTCACGCCCCTTCAAGTCTGAGCCTCAATAGAACCCGGCGCAACAGGCCTGTGTCTCTGCTCTTACTGGTTTGGTTTACCAGGGCGCCCAAATGAAGATTGACTGCGCTGGCGTCGAACGAATGATAGCTGGACCGACAAATGACCGAGGTCCTGGACCCAGAACGGGGGAGAGCAAGTGCTGCAAGGGCCTCAGGCCACCAGCTTTAGCGCTCTCTCAACCAGTCGAGACCCAGGGTTTTTGACAGCTGCCTTGAGCTCCGGAAAAATGAGGCTTTCTATGAAAGGTAGCATGCCGTGGAGCCGCCCGCAACTAGATGCCCTGGCACAAAGTTGCCCGTGTGCATGCTAGTGAATGAAGGAAGGAATGGAGCCGGTGAATGAGCTCGGGTTTCCGAATGCAGAGAGCTTTCGCCCTGGACCTCGCTGGAGCAGACAGTCAGGCTTCTCTTCTTGACAGCCCAGGAGAACGCTCCCCGACTCCCCCCACGAAATACAAGCAATTACACAATTGGAAACGACAACAACAACACTTACTCTCTCTGCCACCCTATTTTAGTCATTTTTTTTTTTCTCCACCACCACCGTTTCCCCTCTCAGCCCTCAGTCCCAGCGGACTCTGTAATCTTTCTCCGCTCTTTTTCCCTATTGCCTATTCGTTTCTCGCCTCCTCCCTCTTCCCTCCTCCCTTATGGGGCGTGCTCCTCGCTGCCTTCTGCTCCCCTCAGCTAGCGCTTCTCCCTAAATTGGCGCCCCGGGAGCAGCCCTTGTGCGCTCACTGCTCTTAGGCCACGCCGGAGGCCAGGGAGAGATAACGGTCCCTCTGAAGCGTCTAACGCTGCAGAGCTACGTCCGGGGCCAGGAGCTGCGAAGACAGAAAAGTCTGGATCAAGTTCCTCCCGCGGTCTGTGGACACTCTGCAAGTCCGTCTTCGCAACACACCCGAGCTGCCCTCCTCAGGCCAGGCACAGCATTCGCTCTTCTGCGTTCTTGGTGCACTCTGGCCTGGGGGTTTTCCTGGAGGAATTTCTGGCAAAGAGGCCCTACAAGGGAAATGGCCTAGTCTTTCCGGGGTGGAGAAGTCCGCCCAGACAGTGGACGCAATTTCTCCGCAACATCCCTTTTACAGCACCCCCCACACACACACCTCCCCGCTCTGCCCCCGGCGCCAGTCAGCCCCGCAGCTCCACCTCGGGTTACAGGATGCCCGGCCCCGCTGCGGGGCGCCCCCTTCCCCGCCAGCTTTGCGCCGCACCCTTCGCTGGTCTGGCCTTGGCCGGCGAAAGCAGCAGGTGGGACGCCCCGACCTACCGCCTGCTCCCGAATCCTAGTTAGAATGTGTGTATGGGAAACCCAGGCATCTATTTCACAGAGAGGTTAAACATAGGCCACTAAGAAGGGAAAGTTGCATCTTTCCATCCGCTTGGGCAGTCTTCTATTGGGGCCTGTACCAGAATGCAAGGAGTTCTGGTGGCATAGTGGGTAAGGCATCTGCTGCTCACTAGAAGAAGGTCAGCGGTTCAAACCCACCACCTGTTCCGCGGGAGGGAGATGAGGCAATCTGCTTCCTTTAGGATTGACAGCCTTAGGGATCGCTGTGAGTCGGAATCTACTCAATGGCAATGGGTTTGGTTTGGTCTAGTGCTGGGATGCACGTTTTGCACAAGGCACCTATGACTCAATCAGGGACCGTTGGAGCATTGAAATATGGACTTACAGTTTGAATTGTACATCCAGAGCGTATATTAACACTAACTATGATGTATATATAGAGGGAGCTCTGGTACCGTAGTGCCTAAGGCACTTGACTGCTAACCAGAAGGCTGGCGGTTCAAACGCACCAGCCACTCCTCGGAAGGAAGATGGGGCAATCTACTTCCGTAGTGATACTGCCTCGGAAACCCAAGGAGGGGTCGCTATGAGTCGGTCCGACTCAAGGGCATATAACAACAACAACAGCAGTGAGGTCAGTCTTATTATCTTCCCCATTTAGGAGTTAAGAAAAGAGATCTTGATAGTTACCTGACTTGCATTGAATTATCTAGCACCGAAGACGGATCCTAACTCCAGAACCCCTGGCCCTCCCACAACAATGCCACCTCTTTCCACAGTCATCTCTGCGGACTCTGTGTTTCCAAGACCTTATATAGAGTCCAGCACAGCTCAGTAAATACTTGTGGATTGAATTCCAGGATCCGGTACAACCTTACGGCTGCCGTGTTTTAGACAGTAGTGTGTCACACACTCGTTCATTCACTTTTTCGACAGTTACTGAGCGCCTGCTGTGTGCGGGTGCTGATGCAAGAGCCAAGAGCCGTGGAAGTGAAGGTGTTGGTGATGGCGAGGGACCGAGCTTCCAGCCCGTGACTCCCGGAGTGGAGAACACGGTCTGCCCCCGGGTGTTGGAAAGTGGGGATCTAGGGGATCTCCTAGTCTTGCCGAAGTCGTAGGGGAGGCGGGAGCCGTGGCGGAGACGACTCCAGCGGGAGGAAGAGGGAGACCCAGCAAAAAGAAAATATAACCTGAAGGGAATTCCGCGAGAGAAGAGCTTTAGGGGAGGGAATCGGAGACCTAGACAACACAACTGGGGGTGGGGGAGAGAGTGAGGGCAACAAGAAAGAGAAATCAGACTGCCAGAGTGTATAAAATATAAATGAGAAATACCACCTTTCCCTTCCCGAGAGCCAGTGAGGGGCGGGAGCGTCTAGGGGGGTCTTCAGGCGCACAGTGCACGGAACACGAAAGTAGGACTCAGATTCCAGAAACCAGCCCCACCCCTTGCCAGCCTCTGTGTCTGCCCAAGTTGGCTGGGGCGAGGTTGCTGAAGCCTCAGTCATTTTAGAAAAGCAGTAGGTGTGTTCTCTTACGAACGATTCAGTTTGGGAGGAATCCATAATATTTTTCTTGCGCGCCAGGCATTCCTAGAGAAACCTGTTTGGGTTCGGTTCTCCGTAGAAGTCCACGCGCAGAAAAGTTGGAGTCTGGCCCGATGGAGGCCGCAGCAGGTCGGTCTGGGGCTGGCTCCCTGCGTTCGGGAGAGGGAACAATTAGGGCCCGAGATCTCCCGGCTCGAAGCGTAGGGTACCGGGCGAGGCCGCGCGTTTGTCCCGGAAGCTCAAGCGGCACCTGCGGCCTGGGATCGGGCGGTAGGCGGCTCGAGGTGCAGCTGGAGCGCGGATACCCAGTCGGAACCCCAGGGGGCGGAGGGACCCGCCCGGGGCGGGCGCGGCGAGGCTGTGGCGGCCTCTTGTGTGGGCCCTGCTCCTCCCCCTCCCGGCAGGTCTGAGCAGGGACGCGGCGGCCCGGGACGTAGGGGTGGGGGTGCCCGCGCCCGGAGACGGAAGGAGGAGCCGCGCCACCTTCGAGAGTCATTGGAGGACGCTACCGCCCGAAGCTGATAAATAAAGGCCGCAGCGGCTGGCCAAGTTGGACGCCCCTGACCTGTGCGAAGGCCAAGTCAGTCCCATCCCAGCGAAGCCAAGCGAGGCGACCCCCGTGTGGCCATGGCCTCGCTGCTGGGAAACTACCCGTGGCCCGAAGGGCTTGAGTGCCCGGCCCTGGAAGCCGAGCTGTCGGATGGGCTATCCCCGCCGACCGCTCCGCGCGCCCCGGGGGACAAGGGCTCCGAGAGCCGCATCCGGCGGCCCATGAACGCCTTCATGGTGTGGGCCAAGGACGAGAGGAAACGTCTGGCAGTGCAGAACCCAGACCTGCACAACGCCGAGCTCAGCAAGATGCTGGGTGAGTGACTGAGTGGGGCGTGAGCCCGAGGGTCAGCGGGCAGGGCTTGGCCGGGCTCGGGGCGGAGGTGCGGGCAGAGGCGGGGTTTGGGGCTCAGGCTTGGGAAGGTCGGGAAGGGGGCCACGGGAGCGCGCGAGTCCGAGGACAGTGAGGAAGTTTGGAAGCTTTGCGCGTTCTGGAGTGCGTGTGCGTGTGTGAGCGCCTTACAGCTCAGGGCGCTCACTGTGTCCGCTAGATTTTGCTCACTTTGAGTATGGATGTACGTGCGGAGGGTCAGAGTTTCAGAGCCGGACACAATTGACGAGGACCAAAATGAAATCACGCAGCCTGGTTGTGGAAGGGTTCTCTTGGCGGGAAAAGGAGCAAAGCCGCGGCAGCCTCGCGGCGCAGAGTTTGGGGCCCCGGGAAGCGGGAGGAGAAGCGGCCGCAGGCAGGCCAGAACTGCCGGGCAACTGGAAACGTTGAGCAGAGCGCGGTGCGCCTGCTCCATTCCCGGTTGAGTTTAAACCTGCGCTCAAGGAGGCGCGGAGTAACGGAAACCCCAAGGCCGAGCACAAAACTGACGTTTGCTAGGAATACCGAATAAGGAAAAACCATTATTCCCTGCACTTTACGACGGGCACAATCACAGAGGTTGTCGCAGATAAAAAATATTAACGAATATTCATGAAGAGAAACATTTCAGAAACGCATCCCTGCTTTAATTATTAAAACTACAGCAAGAGAAGTCTTCGCAAATAGATTCGATTCCTTATTCAATTTCTCAAACAATCGCAGAAGTGTAGTTAACTTAATTTGGATTGTTATGGTAGCCACTGAGGGTCTATCCTGAAGCGGGGCAGCTCCCGTGTTCTTCGGCGCTGACCTGGCTGGGGCAGCCAGGGCTGCAGGACTAGGGAAGGGGCAGGCCCGAAGACCCCAAGTCTGTTCTCTGGGGCGCGGAGGACATTGGGTCATGTCCGAAAAACTGGCATTCCTTTCAGATTTTCTTCTTTCTCCAATGTTTGGAGCTGACACTTCTCCCCCAACGCCTTTGCCTGTCAGCGTGATTTTTATTCATTTTAACTGTAGGAAACCTTTGAAAGCACTTGTACACCCAGCAGGCTCCAGGCCCTGTAAGAAAGGACGTGCATGGTAACACAAGACTGGCCCCGTCCTCCTCAACCCCACCCGAGTTGGAATGGAGCTCTTCCTTTTCCTGTAGGAGCTAAGGGATCTTTCCCTAGATGGAATCATGGGGTGAGGACGTGATGCTCACGGAACTGCCAGCTAAAGCACGGAACTGCCAGCTAAAGCACGGAACTGCCAGCTAAAGCCATCGGCACTCAGAGGGGGTCCCCAGAGCCCTTTTGCAGTTTAGATGCCCATTAATCTCAAAAGGCCTATTGCCTGTGACCCAGCCTACTGGCTAGCTGTACCCAGGGCCACATTATGACTTACTTGGGTCCTAGGACTTTTGCCATGTGGACATGAAAAATACTAAAAGTTATATTTTATACTGTGCTGATATAAAGGTAAGGAGCTCTGGTGGCATAGTGCCTAAGGCATTTGACTGCTAACCAGAAGGCTGGTGGTTCCAACCCACCAGCCACTTCTTGGAAGGACGACTGGGCAATCTACTTCCGTGAGATACCACCTTGGAAACCCAAGGAGGGGTCGCAATGAGTCAAACGGACTCCACAGCAGTGAGTTTGGTTTGGTTTGATATAAAGGTAAATATATGAATATATGTTAGAATATTTTCTTCATCCTAAAAGCTTATATTTCTCTAATGAATTTAACAGAAATTAAAAGCATTTTTATGGACCCCTAAAAGCTTTGTGTGTTTTAGACACTGTGCCGTATCGCCCAGGCCCAACTCAGGAACAGAAACCCCCAAATTCTGACCAGAATGGTCAGAGCCCTGGCCAGAGATCAGAGAGGAAGGAAGATTGGGGAGCCTGCCCCTGTCGAGTAAGGCTGCCTATTCCTAGGAAAAGGGACTTAGGAGACAAATACCTCCGTGGAGTGGACCCTCGTTGCCCACTTGCACACAGGCTTCAAGAGGTTAGAGTTCATTTTGCAAGAGAGAGGAGGATTCCTTCCCAGTTAACAAACACAGTCACCTGGTACTGGGTGAGGGAAATAAACATGATGTTACTTTTTAAAAGATCAGTATACCTGATAATAGAGAGACAGCAGGATGAAATAGTTCCAACCCCATAATCTTACCCAACCCTCATTTTCTGATATCTGTATAAAAGGGAAGGAAGGGCTCGATACGAGAGTCCCAACTTATTACTATGAACTTTCCAAACTTTAAAAATATTTCAAGCATCTTCTCCAGTATTTTTAGTATATTATGAATGAAAAAATGCATAAAGACAATTACACATTTAGTAACATGTAAAAATCAACCTGTGCTTTATTAATACTGCAATATCCAGGTGCATTTAGGAACTACTTTCACAATATATATTCAGTCCACACACAGTGTGTGAGGTGCATCTGGATCTTGGGCCTCTTGCAGTGCCACAGGCTGGGAAGCACTGATCTTTAAAGGCACTCCCAGCCCTCAAAAAGAGTTCCTACCAATTTTCAAATTATCCTTTTAAGTGATAGTTAGTTATATTAATTGGTGTCTCCATCAGAATAGTTATAAATTTATACCCAAATGGTGAAAGAATAATCCCACTTCTTGATCTCCTTTGAGGGCCTTGGTCCATGGAGCCAGTCAGTGCCCAGCTCTGAGTGACCACCTGGCACATAGCTCTGTCCTCTGTCCTTGGCCCTGCAGATGCTGGATATGCGGCCCCTTTCCTTACAGGGCTTAGCCAGGGGCATTAACCTCTGGTTTAATGGTTCTCAAACATCATGATAGATTAGAGTTATTGGGGCACTTGTCAAAATTGTAGAATCTTGGACAGTTCAGGATATAAACAATTTGAGTGGTCTAGAAGGTACCTTTGGAAAACACTCCAGCTGGAAGGATACACAATACATTAAGATAGGAAAGGGTGACATGAAAGTAATTTATAAAGCAACCAACTAGTGAGTAACAATGACAATAAGATACAGGTGAACATAGTCTTTTAGCACCAGTGGGGTAGAGGGGTAGATGCATGGGATTCTTTTAAAAGAAGAAAGTTCTGAGATGAGTAGTTATCACCAAAAAAAAAAAAAAAAAAAAACCAACCAAACTCACTACTGTCAAGTCGGTTCCTGACTCATAGCAACTCCTCCTTGTGTTTCCGAGGCAGTATCACTATGGAAGTAGATTGCCCAATCTTCCTTCTGAGGAGTGGCTGGTGGGTTTGAACTGCCAGCCTTCTGGTTAGCAGTCAAATGCCTTATATTTTACAGTTAGGGAAATAGAGGCCCAGGGAAATTAAAGAATTGGCTTCTTTATGGAGAGTCAGTGTCTGAGTAGGTGACCCCTGCCAAAGCTGAAGGGTTGTAGGTAGATGGGCTATAAGCAGTTGTCTCTCTCTCTTTGTGTATGCATGTATTTGCATGTGTGCATACATGTACATCTCTGTGTGAACATGTATGTATTTGTACATTTGTGCATGTGTGTGTATGTGTGTGCTACAGGCAGATGCTCACATTCTGCTCATAGCCAAGTCTTCCTACAAGAGTGTCCTGTTTGACCTTCAGATGTGAGGGGTAGTCATCTGTTAACCTAAGTGAGATCATATAATTTACTTATATCTCTGAAACTATTGATTGAGCCTGAGTTCCTTACAGGAAGGCCTGGTAAGTTGATAGATGCCATAAGTGAATACTACAGTATCACTTCCTGAAAGGCAGCAAAAATTAACCAAGGTGGGAGTTTGAATTAAAATTCACAAATGATTAGAATTGATAATCAAAGAGTGAGAACAACATCACTCAACATTCTGATAGTTACATATTTTTCCCTTCACTGATGATGGGTCAGGTAGGCCATTGGCTGACAATTTTACTTTTTTTTTTTCCATAGTATTCAGGTTATCTGGTGACTTTTATATGAGAGATGATGGGTGTTTATGCACCTTCTGCATGAAGTGGTTTTGTGGGATGCAAGCAGTAAAGGGCAGTTTAGTCTCACTATGTGCGCAAGACTTGTGGGGTAGGAAGAGAATATGAGTCTGTCAGTCTGTCTGTGTCTGTGAGAGGGTGAAGGGGCAGCCCCATGTGTGTGATGGTCAGAGGCACGAGTCTCCGAGTTAGTTGCGCCTGCCACCCAAAGCAGTGCGAATACTGAAGGTGGCTTTCTCTGGATTGTGTGAGCAGGGAAGTCATGGAAGGCCCTGACGCTGTCCCAGAAGAGGCCCTACGTGGATGAGGCCGAGAGGCTGCGTGTGCAGCACATGCAGGACTATCCCAACTACAAGTACCGCCCCCGCAGGAAGAAGCAGGTCAAACGGCTCTGCAAGCGAGTGGATCCTGGCTTCCTCCTGAGCTCCCTCTCACGTGACCAGAATGCCCTGCCTGAGAAAAGGAGTGGGAGCCAGGGTTCTCTAGGTGAGAAGGAGGAGAGGGGTGAGTACTCCCCCGGCACCGCCCTGCCCAGTCTCAGGGGCTGCTACCACGAGGCGCCAGCTGGCAGCAGTGGCGGCACCACAGGCAGTGTGGACACCTACCCATACGGGCTGCCCACGCCTCCAGAAATGTCTCCCCTGGACGCACTGGAGCCGGAGCAGACCTTCTTCTCCTCCCCCTGCCAGGAGGAGCATGCTCACTCCCATCGAATCCCACACCTGCCAGGGCCCCCATATTCCCCCGAGTATGCCACCAGCCCCCTCCACCGCAGCCATCCCCTGGGCTCCCTGGCCCTCAGCCAGTCCCCAGGCGTCTCTATGATGTCCACTGTACCCGGCTGTCCCCCGTCTCCTGCCTATTACTCTCCTGCTACCTACCACCCTCTCCACTCCAACCTCCATGCTCATCTGGGCCAGCTCTCCCCTCCTCCTGAGCACCCTGGCTTTGATGCCCTGGATCAGCTGAGCCAGGTGGAACTCCTGGGGGACATGGATCGCAATGAGTTCGACCAGTATTTGAACACTCCTGGTCATCCAGACTCTTCCACAGGGGCTGTGGCCCTCAGTGGACATGCCCCGGTCTCCCAGGTGACACCAGCAGGCCACACGGAGACCAGCCTCATCTCAGTCCTGGCTGATGCCACAGCAACGTACTACAACAGCTACAGTGTGTCATAGAGCCCCAAGGCAGGAGGTGCAACCCTGCCCATGTCATCCTGTTCTTCCTGAGCACCTCACAGAGCTGAGAGACTACGAAGTATTACCAGCTTTCCTTGAACCACCCACAGGGAGTGGAGAGGTCTGAACTGCTGGCCCTGGGAGCCTTCATCCTGAAACTGAAGTGGGTTTTATTGATCTAAGTACCCCCTCCACCCCCTTGCCTGCCAGTTCCACCCCCTTCAGCCTATGTTTTGAGTATATTCCTTCAAATGAATTTTCGTTGGCTACACTTGATAGCAGTGAGTTTCTGTTGTTGTTTGTTTGTTTTGTTTTTTGACACCCTGTGAATAGGGCACTGTAATTGCTGAAAGATACTGTTTAATGGTAGAAATTTCACTGACCTTTCTGCCTTGTTGAGACAAATGAGTGAAAAGCCCAGTATTTTCATCTCTCCTGCTTCTAACACAGCCACTCTGAGTATAGCAGACTTGGTCTGTTGGAGCCTTCATGTAAGAAGAGAACTGGACGAGGAGTCGGGACCTGGGAGCTCGTCCCAGATCTGGCACAGACAAGCTGGGTGATACCCTGACATGCCTCCTTTGTCCCCCACAGCCTGTTTTCTCATAAGTAAAACAAGGGGCACACTTAGTGCCTAAGGTCCTTTCTTCTCTACATTTTCTGATTTAAGATTTTCTCAAGGCTAACTAAAAGGAAAATGGGAAATTTAACTCCTTAATAAGTTTATTAGCATGCAACTTGGTGATAATGTGTTGTGCACAGTCCGAGGACATAATGTTTTCTGCACTTCCACTACTTCCTACGATTACTACATCCTTCCAAAAGGACTATTTTTCAATTTGGGAAAAAAAAAAAAAAAACCATCTTGATTTGGAAATTTTTTTTTTTGAAATTTTAGATAAGTTTTATTTTATTACATATAAACTTCATGAGACTATATGCAGTCTAAATATATACAATGAGTTTGTATGACACACACAAGCCTTCATGCACACATTTAAATATGTGTCTCTGCGTACCAAATAAGATGTTCTTGTTAATGATGGTAACTTCACGTCAACTCCCTGTTCCTAATGACCGGATGAGCCACGGTACCTAAGAGGAACTTGGAACAAAACAACAGTACTTTCTTTAAATCTTGATGTGTTAATTTCTCAAGCAAAATTTTAGCTCACATCCTCTGTGTGGATGCAAAGGAGCTTCCTTCCCTGCTGGCTCTCTCCATCTCGCTCTCCTGTGTTTTCTTTCTTCTTTCTCTTCTTTTCTTTTTTTTCCTTTCTCTTCCTCCACTCCTGAATTAGACACTAATTCATGGAGCACTTGATTTATAATCCCAAACGGAACTCCTATGGATTTGATGGGAATTTGTTTTCTTCACAAGCCGGCTGGTTCTTAAGGCCAATTCCTCCACCAACATTTTAGAAACCTTTCCTGTCTGCACTTTGATTATTCTTAACTCCCGAAGAGCAAAAATGCGCTATGATTTGGAAAATGTTTCTGACTCCTGAACCCGCCCCTAAAACATTTCCATCCTTCCCCCAAGTGTCCTTTGAAGGAACATACCTAACAATGAGCTAAAAGACAACTGTTTGTCTTTTGACTTCAGCATATTATTGCCTGTATGAACTGTGTGTTTTATATATTCTCCTATTATTTTCTCCGTATGTTTTGTATTGTTAAACTTCCCTTTCCTTTCCTTCCAAGAAGTCTTATTGTAAAATTTGCTTACAAGATATAATTAATCTTTATGCTATTATTGTATATGATGTTTGGTAATAAATAGCAAATTGTTGAGGATGTGGTTGACTGGTACACAATCCAGAATGTGTCTTTATAATCTTGTAAAACATTATCACAGACATTAAGCTAGACTGTTCCATTTTGTTTTCTTTGTAAGAACTGTACATGCTTTGGAACGGTTATAGATACTGGTTTGTCTAAAATATTTAATTTAAATAAATGTTTTTATACTATGATTATTCTATCATTTAAAATCTAGTTTTGCAAAAAGAAGAAGTAATTGAGAGAAGTATAGATATTATGTCCAGTGCTACTTGTATTATGGGTCAGATTTTTTTTCTATGTCAACTTTTTAATTTCAAAATGTTGGTATCTTTTAGTGGTGTATTTTGTTTTATGAGTGATGGTAAAGAGATAAATCCCAGTTCTACACATTGGAAACAGTAATGCTATAGAAAGAAAAGACCCACTGGTAGCCTACGTGATGAACAATTTTCTTCACAAGATGAATTTACATGTCCAAATGAAATGAGGTGATTAGCAAGCTATTTCAAGATAAATAGTAAATTTTGCCCCATGACTTGCTTTCTTAAGGCTACTACATTTTTTTTTCCTTTTCTTTTTTGAAATAATCTTGAGGAATACCTAAATTGCCTTTGCTCTTTGCTATGTATTTATAAAAACCAAAACCAAACTCACTGCCGTCGAGTTGGATCCCTCCTTGGGTTTCTGAAGCTGTATCTCTATAGAAGCAGATTGCCTAGCCTTCCTTCTGAGGAGTGGCTGGTGGGTTTGAACCTCGAGCCATCTGGTTAGCAATTAAATGCCTGAGGCACAACCAGAGTATCTATGGATGCAGTATAATAACAAATAGCAAACTCTGAAAGTTCTGTGGAACGTTGTGGAGGAAGCAGGAGAGAACATGGATTGGCAATGAAAGGATGTAACATCACGCAAGGTTTAGGATTATAACACCAGCCAAAAAGTACCTGGAAAAAACTGGTGATTACTCAGCCCCTGTATGGATCACTCTGTGGTGCAGCATTTGTAACATGTTCAAGTCAAGGGTAGCCTTGTGTTTTCCCAAGCCCTCTGGGCCAAGGAGTGGATCTTGGGAGGGCCAAACTAGGCATATGTTCATCCTTCAATTATGATCCTAATCTAGATTCATTATGTTAATAGCCCTTTATAGATATACAGAGTTTTATGAAAGTTTTACGGGCTATTTGTCATCTATGGTCCAAGGTGGAGCTCTGTCATCCATCCACTCCATTGCCTAGCCAGGGACACTGAGGCCTAGGTGGGGGCTGGTGACTCATGGCTCATACCACTTAATCAGGGGAAGCTGGGATTTCAGTGCACAGCTAGACTTGTTTGTTGGCAACATCAGCCAAACAGTGTCACAGCTGGAGGCTTGACGCCTTTTTGTAGTGCTTTACCATGGTCTGGAATTATATGTCATGCACTTCATACTTGTCACAGCCCAGGAAAAGAAAGAAAGAGCAAAAGGAAATTATAGGGCCAGAATTAGATGATACCTCAGGCTCTATTGCTGCAGTGGGCTAACAGGGGCCACCTGCAGTGTCATTGCCTAGCAGAGGACGTGTGCCATCCTAGTCCTATGTGCCCAGTGTCTGTCCATGACATCGTCCTGACACAGTCAAAAGGGGAATATTCCAGGACATACTGTAGGGGTGGGGCGTTGTCCCTGCCTGTGGGAGGGCAGGAAACAGACAGGCGACAGGACGGACCGCTCTTTCACTTTTGCTGGGCTATGAGTAAAACAGTCCTTCCCAGAAAGCAGGCGTAATGTGTTAGCTGCTCATTCTGGACACACAACTGCCTGCAATGATGAGAGTGCTTTTTGCTTTTGGTGATGAGATTTTTTTTTTTTTTTTTAATTTCACTGATGAGAATTTGTGAGGATGCACAGTGATATGTTACTTTTTCTAACATGTAGATATGACTATTTTTGTGCTTTTCCTCATCCCCTTCCCCAGTGTCTGCTCCTCACTGCAGAGGCAGTGCGCCGAAGAGGTGGGTTCACCTTGACACTAACAAGCTCCTCACTTTATGGCTCTGGCCCCTCACTTGCACAGGCTGCACCCAATGTCCCAAGTGGGACCCTAGTCATGTGTTCACTTGGCCATTTGCTTTTGTAAACTGTGCAAAAGAGAAGATATTTTTGCATTCTTTTCTTTAGGAGAGCCCCCAAATTGTATAAGCCTCAGGTCCCCTAACACCTGGATTGCCCTGTGTGGGTGTCTGTATTGACACTCTTCCCAGTGTCCTCTCAGGCCTCCCCACGGTATATCCTACCACTGTTGGAAAGCCTTGTTTTTCTCTGAAAATACTCTTCTTTCCCATGCTTCTGTGTTTTTACGAATGCTATTTCCTTACCTGGAAGACACTCTCCCATAATCTGGGAACATCCCACTTATTGGTCAAGTCCAGTTCAGACATCCCCACCTCTGGCTGGCAGAGGGAAGATCACTCTTTCCTCTGAGCTCACTCCCACAGGGCTAAGGCAGATCTCCTTACATCATCATTCAGCATTGGAATTATCCACCGATGCACATCCTCCTCAGCAGAGCAAACACATAGTAGACTGCTCAACAAAATAAATAAAAAACCACATGAATAAAGTAAAAATCTAAGATGTTTATATAAGTTTTCTAGTTAATCTTGGTGGCATTAGGAACCCTGGTGGCTAAAGAGTTGGACCTTTCTTGGTCCTTAATTTTCTGGCCCATCTCTCTGGAAGAAGGAGCTCTAGTGGTGCAGTGGTTAAAGCATTCAACTGCTAATCAAAGGTCAGTGGTTTAAACCTACCAGCCACTCTGCAGGAGAAAGATGAGGCAGTTGGCTTCCATAAAGATTTACAGCCTTGGAAACCCCACGGGGGCAGTTCTACTCTGTTCCATAGGGTAACTGTAAGTCCAAATTGACTCGATGGCAGTGGGCTCTCTGGAAGCAGAGACCATGGGAGCCTTTGTGTGTGTACTTCTTGCAGCCCTGAGGCTGGGTCTGACAAGGGAATGGCTATTTTAATGCATGTCCCAGACTGTAGCTGCTTGGAGTGAAAAGGTCAGGAGATGAGTGTGAGGACACGGAGAATTGCCTGTCCTGTCCTGGGACAGCAGAACAAAGCTGAGGGCAGATAGATTGTAACACAGTCACTGGATGCAGTGCTTGTGAAGTGCTTTCTTCTTGGTTTCATCCCAGTGAAAGAAGGGGAGAGAGAGAGAATAATAAGACAA